AATTGTATCCCAAACACGCCGGTATAATGTGCCAGATCAATAAACCAATGCTTTTAAAGCATGCGGTTTCACTTCACTGGCTTGGGACCTAACAGGGATTCTATCTAACTAATGATATAGGCAGTTTTCCCCTGATCTCTGGGTGTATTCCATTTTTAATACCGATCAATATTCTTAACCAGTGTTTCCCAAACATTTCTTGGTCGCGGCGCCTTTTTTAAATTAAAATTTTTCCACGGGGCCCTAACCTAAGTAAAAGTATAACTATTCTTGTCTTGGTTAAATTACTTATGAAGCTTTTACAATATTTCGAGGCGCCTATGTGAAGAGGTCGCGGCTCCCCGGGGTGCCGCGGCGCACAGTTTAGGAATCACTGCCCTAAACAACTAATAAGTATGATAAACTAAACAGTTGTTCGTTGTTTGATGTCTGATACGCGAGCCACAGGTGCTGGGCCGGAATCCGCCCTTGATATCCAAAAGCTTGCACATTTTAAAATGGAATTGAGGAATAGACTGTGAGCATTACGTGACGTATAAACGGCACAACAAGATGAGGATTAATGATGTTCCGGGGCCCTATTGTGGGGTTAATAACCTCGCCCGTATATGGGACTCATTTTTTTTTTTTTCAAAACCCCACCCAGTCTGTAGCCAGGAACCTTAATATAACCTAACGGTTGAACGGGGTTTGTAGGACTTGTACCCAGGTGATTCTCATCCGAGTAGCGGCACTTTGTGTCACCGTGTATTTATCGCTCGTAATGCGGTGCTGATGTGGTAAAATGACGCTCATTTGGAGAAAACAAAAATAGACCCGCTGCTTCCACAACAAGCATGTCGTAAGAGTCGACTAATTAAGGGCTTTCTTGGAAGTTGGGGTACATCTGCCTGAGAAGCAAGGAACTAACAATTTGCACACAAATAAGTCAGATCTGTAAAACGGATGAGCATGCAACACAGGTTCTGGAACACGACTGGAGTCCATAGGCTGACGAAGAACCAAAACTTTCCATCGGTGACCGCGAAGAGGAAAACGAAGCAGAATGATAATGATGATGATGGTGGTGGTGGTGGTGATGACCGTAAGGCTTTACTGGTGTCCTAAACTGGTTTAATTATGTTTACCATATGATCCATTTTCAGTAAACAATCCAGTTTCTACCTCTTCAAGTTGCTTTTTTTCTCCGTGATGGATGCTGTTGAGATGTTAATTAAGTTTTTTTGTGTCCATAAAATAGTTCTTTGTATTTCTTCCTTCCGTTTAGATTCTTTCATATTCATTTTTTCTTCACAATCATTACGTCTTTTTGCAACGGTCATCTTTGATCCTCTTTCCTCTTTCAGAGAGTATAAAATGCCGTCTCCTCTTCCCAATACCCACCATCTTTTTGTTATTCAATCGTGGTTTTCCACTACTACACTAGTGATACATGCTATTTATTGTTTCGTTGTTGTTTCCTTCCTGTACCCATTTTACTTTATTACTCTCTTATTTGTGAGGTTTGATTATACCGCTCCAGTGGATTTCACCCCGGCCTCTTTCTTTCACTATATTGCTGATATTACTGTGTGTATACTTTATTTACCAATGCAGCGATGACCATCAACCAATTCAATCTAAACACTACCGGTTCTTCTTCCAAGCCATAGTATAGGTCTTCTCCGTGCTTTGTTAGATTTCCATTTATTTTGCTTTCCAAAGCAAGATGTTTTAGTCATACGAAAAACAGTTTATCTGAAATCGTGATCTGACCAGTGATAGCGTCTTGCCTTCGATTCTCAATTCAATGGAATTTATATATCTCTCCATCTCTCTCTACCCACCCCCCCCCCCACCCCCCCGCCCCCCCCCCCCCCCACCCCACCCCCACCCCCCCCCCCCCCCACCCCCCACCCTCCCCCCCCCCCCCCCCCACCCCCCCCCTCCCCCCCCCCCCACCCCCCCCCCGCCCCCCCCCCCCCCCCCCCCCCCCCCCCCCCCCCCCCCCCCCGCCACCCCCCCCCCCCCCCCCCCCCCCCCCCCCCCCTCACCCCCCCCCCCCCCCCCCCCCCCCCCCCCCCCCCCCCCCCCCCCACCCCCCCCACCCCCCCCCCCCCCCCCCCCACCCCCCCCCCTTCCGCAGGTAGTTCTGTCACACCGACTTAGTTGTTCTATTCAGAGCAGGGACAGGTTTATAAACGTCTGCGCTTTCGCTCTGCAAGCTTATCGTCCACACTTCAGCACTAGATTTTACAGTGATCAATTTGGAACTAGTTACTGTGTGTGTATTTTTTTTAATGCTTTTTTCCCTTGTGCTGCGAAGGCTCTTCCTGATTCATTATCATCAGAATCGCCTGGTCCGGATTTCAGGTTACTCGGATACCGTCGGGTACCCCAATATAAATGCTTCATGCGGTTAGGAGGGGCTGAAGAAATCTGAACCTGTTTAAGTCTGATACTGCAGACTGCAATCTTGGAGGGAGACAAACCTACATCTTGATTGTTTGGTTCTAATTTTAATATCTCTGTTCCTCATCCTTGTCTTCGAAGCTGACGTACACTCGTTGTAAGTGTTATATTGTTATTCTTGTCCTTATTCTTATCATTCTTATTTTGTAGTTAAAAATCCAAAAACAGTGTGCCGAAAAGACAAATATTCTGATTTTATTCCCAAACCGAGACACTCCCCAACCGCAAATAGTTATAACAGGGGATTCAACTTCACATTAGAAAATGTAGTCGTCTCCATGAGGGATGTAATTTTTAGTTATTTTGAAGCCCCACCCTGGCTTTTGCCGGGGCCCTAAATATAGCCAGGCCTAGCGGCTGAACAGGGTTACCGGGACCTCTCCATGGGTGATCCTCATTCGCATGGTGGCACTTTGTGTCACTGGGTGTTTATCGCCTGTGTAATCTCCTTGTGCGACACAACTTACTTACATACCTTCACATTATAAATATTGCTAATGTTGCAGAGTTCGTGCAGTATGTTGAAGTCAGATTGCGTAATTCACGGATAGAAGGACGGAACACTTGTGATGATTAAAGTCTGCAGTGAAAGTAATCTTTAATTAACTAAACTAAGTAAGTGAAGTAAATGACCCTTTTCAAGCCTTAGCCTTAATACGGGCATATAGGGCTAGACTAATATTTGTATAGATTAATGTGCACTAGAGAAGTATTATAGTAAACATCACACCGACCACCTTTAATCCCTGGTACTCATTCTAGACTGGGTTGTTTTGGGAGCCAAGGTTAATTTAGAAAGAAAAAGAGGATTCCGCGTTAATTCTAACCCTAAACCTTGACCTTTGGGCCGGCAGGCGAGAGTCTTGCCACTCCACTACCGCCGCGGCTTCCAGCTAGGCATGGGCATTATAGCCTATGGCAATGGCGATTGTGACCAGCTAGGCATGGGCATTATAGCCTATGGCAATGGCGATTGTGACCAGCTAGGCATGGGCATTATAGCCTATGGCAATGGCGATTGTGACCAGCTAGGCATGGGCATCATAGCCTATGGCAATGGCGATTGTGACCAGCTAGGCATGGGCATCATAGCCTATGGCAATGGCGATTGTGACCAGCTAGGTATGGGCATCATAGCCTATGGCAATGGCGATTGTGACTAACTAGGCATGGGCATCATAGCCTATGGCAATGGCGATTGTGACTATAGCAAGACCCTCCCGGGTTAAGAAAACTGTTCCACACTTAGAGCATGGGATTTCAAGACCGTTGCTGCAGTCACATGTATTAAGTGTGCTTCTTCTCAGAATCTCATCTCTCAACCTTTCTTCAAAGAAAGCTACTAATCTAGAAAACAACTAAGATAAACGAAACACATAGGCCTGGTTCAAGAATAGTACCAAGTCTTGAACAAACACCAGATCGAACACCAAATATTGTTAAAATGTCCATTGGCTGTCAGGTAAAAGCGGATAGTCACCACTGGGAGCTAGGTGGGGCAAAGGCGCTAGACATGGTTGCATGTAGATCTGAAAGCTATTTGATTTTATATTGAAGCGCTTTTTTTTTTAAAAATATTGATTTGGATTTACATGTCATCCAGCGTATATGGGTACCATAGACTGTCTGGGGAAGTAACCGCAGCTTACGTGATACTGTTCGTACTACTGACCACATTCTATATAACAAGCATAGAGCCATTTGCCCTTTGATGGGCATTGCGTTATTTTACATGGCCTCTTCTATATCGTCGGTATCAGTGGCTCAGGCATTGCGAAGGCATTTTGTAACTTTGAGGTAACAGGTTGGTTCCCTGCTGATGGCGATTCCGCAGCACGCCGCCTTGCGCTGGTTTTGACAGTGGTATCGAGAGCCCACTGTTTAGGCCAATTAAAAACCACTAAACGTAAAACTGCCTAGTCAAATCACATAAAGCAAAAAAAAAAAAAAAACCCACTGCGGTTGGTTCTGCAACGTCAAGTAAATAATAGGCAACTAACTTTCTTTTATACGTCAAAGATCACGTGACGTTTGGTCATCTTCGAGTAACTCACGTGATTCAATGATAACTGGAATGTTAATGTAATTACCTTTTTTTTTTTTAAATATTGTTTTCTTAATTTTAAAATCAAAAGAATCGCTTTCACTGCCTTGGCTTATTCCATATGACCCAGTCTCTCTCTCTCTCTCTCTCTCTCTCTCTCTCTCTCTCTCTCTCTCTCTCTCTCTCTCTCTCTCTCTCTCTCTCCAGACAATGGCTAGCCGTCTGTCGAGAGGGTCGCACATAGCACGAACTTCACAGCGTCAGCAAGAGTCTCCACAGATCTAAGTAAAAACCGCACTTATCATCTGAAAGACGCCTCCATAAACAAAAGACGGGACTGCTTTGCCATGGAGACTCTCATTAATATAATTATCAAAAGATATCGTACAAACAGTAGAAATTACCTCTTCAAAATGAAAATGACTAAAAGTATCCGTTCAGGATAAAAAATGGCAGAAAATACAAGTTGAAAGTTAAAAAAAAAAAAAAAAATGGCAGATATTACCTGTTTAAAAGGCCGTATCTTCATTGTCATAATGTAATCAAAATTACAGAGCTCGCAGGATTTCTTGTCGGAACTTTTAATCCATTTTTGCAGGCAGCACAGGTGTATGTACTTGAGACTTCCGGAACAAAGGCAGGGGGAGATAAGTCTGTGGAAAGTGTGAGGATTGTATTATTATTATTATTTTTTTTTATGTTTTAAATCAATTTTATTGAGTGTTAAAATGGGTCTGTGTACAAGGTTGCGTGGTTTCTGTATTGTACGTATTTAATATACAGGCGTCTGCGATGCGCGTATTTTGTTTAGTGTTCTATACATATGTTGCCATGTGTGAGTATTGGTGGTGCAAGTGTGTGCGCAAAAAATATGTACATTTTTACATTGACATTAGGTATTAGTAGGAGATTTCAAATCAGTTGGTTGGTGAGTTGAGAGTTGAAGTCCTAGACAGTTAGGTTTAAGGGATAGTAAAGGAGATCATGAGGAGAAGGTTAGTGGAAAGCGTAGGGAAAGAGAGAGAGGCGAGGGAGATACGAGAGAAAGAGGGAGATAAAGGAGGGAGAGAATGAGGTATTGAGGAGCATGTTGAAGCATGAAGCTTATAATACTTTATATATATTCATATTTGGTAGTTGTGTGGTGAGGTCTGGGGCAATAATTTGAAATCCAAGTCTTGGTACCAGAAGAGGGTTAGGGGTTAATATTTTTGGATCTTCCATATGATCGCCATCTTGCAGGAAGTTTAAAGGCTTGGTAACCGTAGAAGAGTGTGTTCTTTGAGTGGATCTCAAGAAGGTTCTATACAGGCATCAATAACATGATATATATTTATATTACAAAACCAGTTCGACTCAACCAACGCAATGCGCAAGGTCTGGAGCCGCTCTTATTTACATCTCATATCTGTTTATGGACACAAGGTGCCCAAATTATGAGTAATGTTTACATAGGAGCCATATTAATGAATCAGATGACAGTGAAAGGGGGGGGGGGAGGGGGACCCTCCCATTGTATTAGCTGTTTCTAGTCGGTATGGAAGTATTAGTCTGGGGCTAAGTCGATGAGAACGCTTCGTAATACCGGGGTGCCGGGTTCGATCCCAGCTGCGGGCAGTGGTATCAGACCACACAACAGCCAGGGGCTGCTGGAGTTGGTTCTGCAACGTCCTGTAAAGGATACGCAGCTAACCCTATATGGAAGTACTGCCGATTGTGCTACAAAAATGTGAGCGTTGCGTCACAGGCCCGATGCGTCTTTGGCCTCCTAAAGGGTGATTTATATGTTGCAGTCATGCAGATATGAACTGTTTGGACTAGCCCTCTGAACACCACCCCAAACGTGTTCTCACATGTAAGTTAAACAAAAAGGTCCTTTTTCCACGCATTTAGTGGAATTGGGAATATAGGCCTAGACTATATTTTTATTAGATTAATCGGCACTTGGTGGATTATGTGGTCAGCATTACGCCGGCCGGCTTTACTTTCCAGGACTTTACCTGGTACCCACTCAAGACTGGGTCTACCTGGGAGTCAAGTTCTCACATACACAACATATTATATCATCTTCTTCTTCATAGTCACCGAATGTAAAGTCCGGTAGAAAGTTTTAGGTTAGTTGTTCATCCACTTCCGGACTTTAGTTTTGTCCCAGAGTTTGTGTATGCTTATCAGTTTTACAGATCTAGCTTATTTATATGCAGACTGTTGGTTACTTGCCTCTCCTGCAGATGTACTCCGCCTTTAAAGGAAACCCTTTGTTAGTCGACCCTTACGTCATGCTCATTAAGGGGGCAGTGGGTTATTTCATAAAGTAATTATTGAACAAAAATTAAAAAAAACTGAGTATTTTATCACATCACAGTTTACAGTATAATACACAGATTTAACAAAACGTGAAAAAAAAAAGTCAGATAAATAAATATAATCCCTCCCCGTCCCCTCTCCCCACCATTCGACTGCATGTCGCTGCGTAACCGTAGATGTGCCCATGTGTTGTAGGGTTGAACCGGGTTCCAGGGATCTGTTTGATGTTCACCAAAGGGGAACCTGAAGGAAAACAAACACCGACCAGTATCCGGTTATGGTTGGCTGTAATGACTTCGTATGTGCTGGATCGCATCATAATTTATTTTTCTTCTTCTTCTTCTTCTTCTTCTTCTTCTTCTTCTTCTTCTTCTTCTTCTTCTTCTTCTTCTTCTTCTTCTTCTTCTTCTTCTTCTTCTTTTTCTTCTTCTTCTTCTTCTTTCCCTTCTTCTTCTTCTTCTTCTTCTTTCCCTTCTTCTTCTTCTTCTTCTTCTTCTTCTTCTTCTTCTTCTTCTTCTTCTTCTTCTTCTTCTTCTTCTTCTTCTTCTTCTTCTTCTTCTTCTTCTTCTTCTTCTTCTTCTATTCTTTCTTCTTCATTTTCTTCTTTTTCTTTAAAAACAAAATCCTAAATTAAAGCATAGGTCCTCAACCAAGACGTTGCAGCCTTTGCTATCGCATGCAGCTGACCTCATGTCCTACATATCTTTTTAACTTTTCTCTCCCTTCCCTGTGTGCGTCTTTGTCTGCCTCTTATTCTATGCAATATTACTGGGGTGACCACATTGATGTAATTTTTCTCTTTCTCTTCCAGATGAATGCCGGGACTGTAGTGATCCGAAAAATATAAATCCCGTCGACACTAGTTGCCAGATAAAAAGGTGAATATATTCACATAACGCATGTTACAGCTGAAGTTAGAAGTGTCAGGTTCGTACTTCTTCTAGGACACGATGTATGAGCCAAAGTGGACAGTTCTATTCCTCGACGCTATTTCTTCTTAGACAATTCTCCGAACCTTCTGGACATTTTCTGGTGTTCATTTTAATGAGTCTAGGAAAAGAAAACTCTACTTCTGGAAATTGAATTAGAATTACTGACACAGAAAACGATACAACCGGATCATTATTCAAGAAATAACCTCACGTTTACTCACTTGTTGGCCAGCTCGGCCTCGCAGTGACAAATGCGGCAGATATCTTGCTTCTCAGAGTAGGCGGACAGCTGCGAGTCGCATCTTTCAGCCAAACGTGGGTTGACATTTGGCAATTCGGACTTTACTACTGTATTTGGCTTTTAATAAAAAGGAAAATAAACCGTTAGTAATAATCAAAAGTATATTATTTCAGTGTATTTATATACATTTGTTGCAAATGGTTATGCTAATGTATTTTATTATAGTCAAATTGCAAAATGTTGGTTAGCTCCTGTCAGCGAGGCCAAGTCACGAGTTGAATTTTTATATGCAAATTCCCGTGTGGATTACGGGCCCCATTTAAAGGAAAACAATAAAATACCCACTGCCTCCCCAAAAAGGATGTCGTAAGAGTCGACTAACTAGGGGCTTCCTTTGAAATCGAAGTGCGTCTGCCTGAGAGGCAAGGAACCAACAGTCTGCCTATAATTAACTCAGAACTATTGCACGGAAATGCATGCAACACTCAGGTTCTGGAACAAGAATAAATTCCAGAGGTAGACAAACAACCAGAACTTAATTTTTCAACGGAGTAAACAGCTGGTAAACGAGAATAAGAAGAAAAATAAGGAGGAGATGAAGATAAGAAATATGTAATACTCTTTTAGCACATAAAGTAGCACAGATGAGTAATATTTTACTCCGGTTTGAATTATTCTGTCTTCGAAATTTAGTTTTATATGACAGTAAGGGTCATAGTAGTTCCATAGTAAACACCTTAGGTAGACTGAGATGTATTAGGTCGTCATACATTATAGACTTACAGTGTTCTTCTAACCATAGCAAAAGTCCAGGTAGGCAGCCAACAATTTCTGCCTAAATAGGTAAGAGGGTAAAGTGGTTAATATTTCTCTTGTACGATTGTCATCTGTAGGATGTTGAATTAAGAATCGACAACACAGCACTCGGGACACTTCCATAAGAGCTACTGCTTACTCGCTCCCAAAGGGCCCTCACAACATCTAACTTGTCATACAATATTTCAAGTGGTGCAGAAGGGGCAAGAAATCTGCCTGCACATTTCCCAACACATCGGCATGACCTGGAGATAATATCCAGAGAATACTAACCACCCGGGAACTCTGAAGCAATGCTTGCCACTCTGCACGAAACATGCCTGTCTCGACCTTTCTTAACTTAACACATCAAGGATGAGAATCAAACAGGCACAAATCCCGGAAACGCGTTCCATTGAATGAAACAGTAATATTAAAGCACCTGACGGTAATGTAACCTGTATTCTAGTTTGGACTGGGATTAGGGACTCATGTAGAGGCTATATGATTCATGGAAAGTGAGTGGGGCGTTATACGCCTCGATTTTTATTTCTGTGCATCACTAGCTTTAAGGTGTGTGGCAAAACAATTTCTCCAGTTTTGGTGGTCTGCGAGTGTCAACAGGTTGAGGAACACCGAGACTAAAACCGGGCGGCAGAAACCTAGAGACGCAGTCCCTTTGAGCCTCCTCTCTGATTTCCCTGTTCCCAGAACATCTGTTATTGTAATGCTTCCCGTCATAACGTGTGACGCAATTTTTCGTTATTTTAAAGCACTACCCGGCGGTACTGGGAGCCCTTATATAAACTAACGGTTAAACGGCCTTTTCTGGAACTTTTCCCAGGGTGATCCTCATCGGAATGGCGGCACATCGTGTCACCGGGTGTTGGTTGCTCGCTGTACGGTCTTAGTGGGGTTGAACGAAAGGAAAAAGAACAACTGAAAGGGTGTTAGGCGGCCCACATAACTATGTATTACATCCTATTATGCAATTATTGCTTTATTTCATATTATTATTATTAGCAGTCGTGGTGGTGTAGCAGCTAGAGTTTCCACCTGCTGGCCGAAAGGTTTTGGGTTCCAGTGCGCATAGAATTGGTTCTTTCTTTCCAAAATGGCCTTACATTCCAGGCCTACACAGTCTACAATATGTACCAGGTGAAGCCCTACGGATGTAAAGGCAGCCGGCATGATACCATCCAGTGCTGTTTGGTTTTTAAATCTAAGTCTTACATCACATGGGTGCGGCGTGCGTGGCTTAGTCGTTGCAAGTCCGACTCGTAATCCCATCGTGACGCGATCGAAACCCACTGCTGGTTGCGTGGATTTTTATCATGGTATGTGGCGTCGCAGGTCGACCCAGCATAAAATGGGTACCAGTATGGCTTTGCTGGGAAAGTAAAGACGGCTGGCGTAATGCTGATAACATTACCCACCTGGTGCCGATTGGTCTGTAAAAATATGGGTGCTCTTCCCATATGCCCGATGCGCCTAAGGTGTAAAAAGAAAATCTTTACTTTCACATGGGTGGTGTGCCACTGGCGTGAATATGGCATTCACTTGGTTTTACCTTTATTACGCATTTAAATAAGTCTTAGCTTTTTGAGAGCTAAGAACGATGGAAAGGGACCAGAGTGCGGCATCTTTGACATGGAAAACTGCACTGAAGATTTCACAGGACAGGAAAGCATGGAAAGTCCTCTCTGAAGCCTCAAGTGCCACTAGGCATAACGAGAACTGATGATGATGATTTTCGAGAGCCCCACTCCTCGAGTCGTTCAATCCTTTGCCATTGGATGCAGAGCCCCTTCCCCCTTTTTAACTGTACTCTCCAGCTTCCTTCTCCGTGTGTTTGCCTGCCTTCATTTCAATGCCAGAAGGTTGTTACCAAAGCTTACGATGCAGCTGAGGGGTACTTCACACATTGGGTTCCACAAATACGACAAACATGTGTACGAATGTTGACAAATGATCTAGAACCACTGAAGGCTGTGGGAGTCGCCGTGGCGTTGCGGCTAGAGGCTCGCGTGCGGATTGGAAGGTCGTGGGTTCGCTCCCTGGCTGAGCTGGACTTTTTTCAAACATGACTTTGACTCCCAGGTCGACCTAGCCTTGAGTGGGTACAGGATGCAGTCCCGGGAAGTAAAGTCGGTCGGCGTAATGCTGACAACATCACCCATCTTGTGCCTTTTGATCTATAAAAATATATATGCCCTATATGCCTTTTACGTCTAAAGACGGGGAAAAGAGTTTTTACTTTTTGTTGTTGTTGTTGCTACAATGTGTTGCCGTTGTTGTTTCTCCTCCTTGGCCTCACCCGTGTTCTGTAGTTCGTGCTTCTACAAATCTAGACAGGCAAGCGTAGTTTGACAGGTTCTAGATCAGTGGTCACCAACCTTTTTAAGGTCGCGATCCCCTTGAGTATATGGCAAGTCCCCTACGCCCCCCCCCCCTTGAGTATATAGCGTCCCCCTCCTCCTTGAGTATATGGCAGGACCCCCACGCCCCCCCCCCCTTGAGTATATGGCAGGTCCCCCCACCCTCCTTGAGTATATGGCAGGACCCCCCACCCTCCTTGAGTATATGGCTGGTCCCCCCACCCTCCTTGAGTATATGGCAGGACCCCCACGCCCCCCCCTCCTTGAGTATATAGCCAGACCCCCACGCGCCCCCCTTTGAGTATTTGGCAAGTCCCCCACGCCTCCCCCTCCTTGAGTATATGGCAAGTCCCCCACGCCTCCCCGTCCTTGAGTATATGGCAAGTCCCCCACGCCTCCCCCTCCTTGAGTAGATAGCAAGTCCCCCTCCTCCTTGAGTATATGGCAGGACCCCCACGCCCCCCCCCCCTTGAGTATATGGCAGGTCCCCCCACCCTCCTTGAGTATTTGGCAGGACCCAAACGCCCCCCCCCCTCCTTGAGTATATAGCCAGACCCCCACGCGCCCCCTTTGAGTATTTGGCAAGTCCCCCACGCCCCCCCCCCCACCCTCCTTGAGCATATGGCAAGTCCCCCACGCCCCCCTCCTTGAGTATATGGCAAGTCCCCCACGCCTCCCCCTCCTTGAGTATATGGCAAGTCCCCCACGCCTCCCCCTCCTTGAGTATATGGCAAGTTTCCCCCACGCCCCCCTCCTTGAGTATTTGGCAAGTCCCCCACGCCCCCCCCCCCTCCTTGAGCATATGGCAAGTCCCCCACGCCCCCCTCCTTGAGTATATGGCAAGTCCCCCACGCCTCCCCCCTCCCCCTTGAGTATATGACAAGTCCCCCACGTCCCCCCCCCCTTCCCCCCTTGAGCTACCCTTCTCCCCCACACAAGAAAATGTGATTAAACAGAGGAGGGTAATAAATAGGTACCAGAGACTGTCTTGGGAAGTAACCGCAGCTTACGTGATACCGTCTGTCGAGAGCCATTGAAAGAATCAGATAGTATGGAGACACGTTTTGGTCAGAATATGTTCTTAATATATAATTAAATGCCTGTATTATAACATTAATTCGATTTCAACCGTATATGTACAAACGGCTCAGGAAAACAAAAATGTGCCTGTCATTTTGTTTAAAAAAATAGTTTTACAAAATATTTACTTTATAATTAAACTTAGACAGGTTGTAACTATACCGGATTATTACAAATGCAAATGTGCTCACTTTGACAATTGTTTGGCGCCCTCTTTGAAACCAGGTTGGGGTCCACTTCTCTAGACAGACAATATACCAGACTCGCTTCTACACATATACATTTTTTCTTAAGAGATTAGATAGCGTTTACAAAAATGTTCCTTACTTATGACTTAACTTCTACGATCTTCCAAGGGGTTTTCAGGGGGCTAACCAAACAATCAGTCAAACAAGCAGCCAATCAACCAACACATTTTAAACAATAAATATCTATGACTTTCATTCCAAATTTTGTATTCCTTTCTGTATAAATATATAATTCGTGTTTGTTATCTATTTAGTAAATTTTTAAGGATTATAAATTCTTCACCTATCTAATAATTGAACTGTTTCAATAAGCACAATTTGCATTAAATAAAAAAAAAAAAAAAACGAAACAGGACTGCAGGGGAAAAAAATATCTACAGACATCTTGATTGCACTTGTTATCTTTAAGGTGTTCTTCTTATAAAGAATCACATAAAAGCAAAGACTCTTTTTTGGGCCATTCGTGCATTGGGCATGCGATGTTAGATTCATACCTTTTTAGACCCACCAGCCTGAGGTAGGCGATAAGGCCAACATAACACCGGCCGTCTTTTTTTTCATGGTACCCATTATATGTGGGGTAAATATAAGAGTCAAG